ATATCATTTCATGCATACTCATCTTGCAGATCCTACATATATATATATTAACATGTGGGAAACAAATAAATCTCCATCTATGACTCGATGTCCCGCATTTCGGCAAAACGTATAAACGTACATAACGAAAGCTTTAAGGTTAGTTTCGTCGAAATATAATTAATATGGATTTTATTAACGTTAAAATTTCGACATTTATCGTAACTTATATCTTAAACGTAAAAACAAACATTTATGTATGCTCGAAGAAATTTGAATAAAGGTATTTTCAGAAAATCTTAGGGTTTGATTTACATCGTTTTTTCGCATATATATTATATTATGTTACATACATTGGATATGTACATAGTATAATTATAATTAATTATTTCTAACATATTATACTTTATGTATATTGACATATAAGGTTGTGTTACTACACAAGCATATATATAAATTATTTGAAAGGGTTATACTAATCCTACAGGTTTTTTAAACTTTAGATAGATTTAGATAGAATCAGCTTGAGGTATGAGGATGATTTTCGGAATAAAAATGTCATTCCTAGGGTCTTACACTATCAACTTACCAAATTTCATCCAAATCGGTTTAGTAGATCCAGAGATTACCCCCTACAACGTCACAAACTTTGCCTCTTTATAATATTAGTATAGATTTACTCCCATTCTGTCACAGTTTAGCAGGATTATTTTGAACAAGTTTTCGTTAATTTTTTTTTTTACCAATGTGTAACGGAAAGACAGCATAATGGTGTAATTTACATGCAAATCTTTATAAGTAAGGCAAAGTTGCTATAAAAGGTATTATACTAAAAACGCTAGACTTTTTTATGTTAGTGTTTACTTTTATAACAAACGCCTATAACAAAATAAGTATGTACGAGTAAATGTGTCGTAAATTATATTCAGAATAATATATTTTACAACTTGAAAGCTTATTTATTAAACATCTTTAATTTATATATATTATAAAAATATATAATATTAGCAGAACCCCGGCTTCGCTCGCGCCAAACTTCATATATCCCTTATGGGATGAATTTCGAAAAATGCTAAAACGCGTCTTTTTCATATTGAAGATTATTCATTCATAGTTTCAAGTAATTCTGATCATAAATATTTTTTGGGTTGTATTATAACGTGTTTTCCCGTAGGAATGGGATAATCTCCTGTGGTAAAGTAGCATGGCACTCTCCAGCCCTCCAACTATCTCCACACAAAAAATCACGCCAATCCGTCACTCTGTTTCGATGTGAAAGAAGGACAAACAAACGAACACAGTTTCACATTTATAATATTATTATGGATATGAATGTGCATTAAGTACAAGCGTTATATTTTGGCATAAAAATCGTACCAAATTCAATATACATAGGTATGTGTTAATTTTCTGTGATAGAGTCAAAGTAGTAGTGAAAAAGACAGAAAGTTCTTAAAATGTAGTAAGTTTACATTAAATCAATATAATTCGACATTTTTTAAAGATATTTACGCCATTTAAATCAAGTATACAAAGAAACATTATTCCCCTTTTAAGATAGTCGGGTAATAAATGTATTTGCAGTACAAAACGTAACTGAAAGGGTGTCACCGCTATACAAAAGTAAATCTAGCTCTCGAAATAGTAAAACACAAATATCTTAGATGGCACACCTGCGCCCGCCACTACCGAGTACCGACTCAAGTGAAATGTAATATTTATTTCCGTTCCAACTATAAATAGGAGCGACTGAACTATATCGTGACATTGCAAGTGTAAAAATAGCCTAAAAAGATAGAACATGTTTTGAACCGATTTGCGATAAAGATAAATGTTAAAGGGTTTTTTAAGCCAATTTTTGTTTAAATAAAATCTATACTAATATTATAAAGAGAAAATATAAAGAAAAATATTTTTTTATTCGTATGTTTGTTTTTTTGTATTGAATAGGCTCCGAAACTACTAAACCGATTTAGATGAAATTTGGTAAGAAAATAGTTTGAGATTCTGGAAAGGACATAGGATAATTTTTATCCCAGAAGTCATCCCTTAAGGGGGTGAAAATGGGGATTAAAGTTTCTATGGGGAAGCAACCTAAGCCGAGCAAAACGAGGGTGAGTCGCTGGTAGTATACATATATTTCTGTAGGTATATAAGATATATAATTTCTAAAATAACTACCATTACCCGTGTAGGTAGAGGTAAGATTATAAAAATAATCAATAAAAAATATTAAATAAAATAATTAATCTACAATTACCAGAAATTTCACATAACATACAAAAAAAATACCCGATTCGAACACCTCCTTTTCTGAAATCGGCTAAATACTATTCGATATTCTACTTTGACCTCGTAAAAGTTTGATTAAATGTACATAATATGTATACTTACAACTTCACAACTTCTTGCCTTTTGACGGAAGTTACAAAGTAGGTATAAGAATCCTGAAACATCTAGTTCTAAGTGAAGTTAATGTTTGATTTAATCGAACTGGTTTTTTTAATTTCTTTATTCATAAACATTTTTTATTTTATCTATATTAGTGATTTACATGAAAGTCATTGATAAAAACTCCTTTTAAAATTATTTTTCTAAACCAAATAAATTTGATAATTTAATTTGGCTTGCGTGAGACAATAATCGCAATTAATGTAGTTTATTTTGAATTATTAAATGTACGTGACTAATTTTTTTTTATTTAGGTTTGTAAAATTTATAGGTAAGTAGAACAGGCGTAAAAGTAAAGTATATTTGGGTAATAAAAGAGACTAAAATTTATGTTATATACTAGCATTGCCCGCGGCTCCGCCCGCGTTCAGATGACCAAAAACCAAATTCTTAGGTTTTACATATTAGTATACTGTTACATTGCAGTTTTTGTATTTTTTCTCAGAAATGAGATATTTTCCCGCGGTAAAAAGTGATAGATGAGTAGTCATAGATGATGTATGAGCTATACTATTGTAAAGTTTCATTAAAATCGATTCTGTAGTTTTTGCGTGAAAGAGTAACAAACCTTCATACATCTATACATCCAGATATCCATAAATTCTCACAAACTTTCGCAATTTATAATATTAGTTGGTACTATTTATTAATATTAGTTGGGTTATCTAACATAACGGCACCTTTTTTCACCACATTTAGTCGGTTGTACGTTTTTTTAAATATAATATAGGTATGTATATAATAATATTTTTGTCGACTTTTAATCATCGTTGCAATATTTGTCTAAATAACATTAACTAAAAAATAGCTGAATGGGTTTGAATGGGACTTTTTGTGCTTGCAGATTGGATATAAATACACACAAGGGCGTATTCAAGTCACTGTAGTCGTTATACCTACATAATGTATTATTATAGTAAGTAAATACGAGGCGATTTTGCAAAAAACTTGACTTTTTTCTTCTTATATTTTTTATTACAACGTGTGAATGAATATTCTATAATAATTTCCATGAGTTGTTATCATATAATTTATTTTTCCCATTGTGCGAATTTTTTCAATAGAGGGTAAATAATCACTATGGTTTGAAGATAAGATATGAAATGGGGAGCATGGGTTCAAGTTATTAGATGGTTTAAAATATTAGAATTATTTTATTTCACTACTAATTTATTTATTACGTTTAATTCTAAAAAAATAACACAAAAAATTTTTTTTTCTTCCATTTAAATTCCATTTACTCACTCCCATTTACACTCTTGGCCATAACAATTATTGGCAAATATATTTAAAATCGATCAATAACGAAAACCTTCCAGAACATTGAAATAAAAACATGTCTGATTATTTAAATTAAAATTATAAATTCAGTAATTAAACAAAGCAAAGTTTATTGTAACCTTGTAAACTGAAAAAAGTAAATAACCTATTTAAATAATTTACGTTCATATGCATAAGACACGCAATACCTCCAATTTCAAACATTTTTCGATTTCCGATGCAATGTTTTTTTTATTTTTCTTTTTTAAATATATTTATATAAAAAATATATATCATTGTACGTAAATAATTTTGTATGTAAAAATATTATTTTCGTTAAATTATTATTAACCGAAAATTACAAAGATTACTTTTTATCCCTATATATAACTTATTTTTTATTTGATCTGATTTAAAATGAACTGTCTTATTATTTTGTTTAAAATAAACATTTTTCCTAAATATTATTAATCTTTGATTGTTTCAAATTAGTTTTTAAAGTGTATACTCTTGGTATTTTTATAAAATTAAAACCAAAATTATAATATGAGTCTCTATATTTAAAATACAGTTATATTATCAAAAAAAATAATAATTAAAGATAATAAATATGAATATGTCATGTGACACTATTTTGAACCATAAAAAAACTTGTCAGAAGTGGGATTCGAACCCACGCCCACAGAAGTGGACTGCGACCTGAACGCAGCGCCTTAGACCGCTCGGCCATCCTGACTTGACAGCAAGTTCTGAAAATTATCATCCATCGCTAACATATTATCCTTAATAAAGATATTGCAATATACTTACTCTTGATAATAATTAACTTATTAATATAGTGCTAGAGCAGAAAACAACCCAGAATCTGCAATACTAAAAATCACAAAGAAGTTTAACTTATAATCGATAATAATCACATTCAATTATTACTTTGTAATTAAAAGATGCACCAAATTCAAAATTACTTTGAAAATAATTATCCCATATTGATAAATGTAGTTTTAAGCAAACTTACTTTAAAGTTTTTAATTTTTAAGCAAACATGAAAATTGTTTCACTTCCTCTAGTGACCTATGCCGATTATTATGAGAACGGTTAAAAAAAAGTTATTTTTAATTTAAAATAGTTTTTTTTTTACGTATAAAACTGAATATTATATGTTATGTCAAAAAGGAAAATAAATCGTGCCGTCTACCCCTGAACTCCCCTTATCTATGTTGTGGCTAGACGTGTAATATAAAAAAGCACTCATAGCTCACGACAATGCACTGTACCTATTTTTTTAAATTAGGAAACAACTTGTCTACAAAATGACAGACTATGAAAATCATCCTGCAGTGAACAATCTCCGGAACTACATAAGGATACGCTCTGTCCATCCTAACATCAATTATGGTATGTTTTTGTCACTTTTGTCCTAAAAATGGTCGATGTCTATATTGATAGTCGATAGCTATATCTATAGTCGAGGCTATATAATACCACCTCAGTCGAACTCACTAGTACTTACGTTCTTTGGTTTTCTTTTGTGTACCTAATTGAATAAAAAATGAATTCTAGGTTGCTATCAAAATAGATCGAAGCGTTAATTTTATATTTATAACTTTATACAAACTATATTTATCTGGTACAATAGTTAATGTTATAAGGCAAAGGTCATAAGTTCAATTAACAAAATATATACATATGTTAATAAGTTGACAGTGGTAGCCCAGTGGTAACGCGCCTGCTTGGGAAACCGAGTGAAGCGGGCTTTTATGTGCGAATCATTTCCATAATGGTTGCCTTTAGTCTTACGATCAAGGAAAACATGGTGAGGAAATCTGCATGTCTGAGAGAACTTAGCTAGTTTTCAAGTCCGCCAAACCGCACTTGGCCAGCGTGGTGGACTATGGCCTGATCCCCTGCGTATTGAAGGGACGGCCGTGCCCAGCTGGCGGAAGTTAAAAAGGGCTGAATTCATACATAATAAATATGTATAAAATTATTGATCTATGTTTAAGTCTGAGACCAAATCGTCCTTTAACAATAATTATGGAGATGAGAGTTGACTACTCTTTATTTTTGTTTATTTACGTTTGTTTGTCTATGGGAAAAAGTATGTGATTATAATAAGATTAATTTTTATTATGAGTAAAAGTAAATATGTAGATATATTTTATACCAGCTACTCACCCTCGCTTTGCTCGGGTTCGTCCCTAGCTTGCTTCCCAATACAAACTTTCATCCCCATATTCACCCCCTTAAGGGATGATTTCCGGAATAAAAAGTATCCTATGTCCTTCCCAGGCTCTTAAACTATCTTTTTACCAAATTTCATCTAAATCGGTTCCCTAGATCCAGAGATTACCCCCTACAACCTCACAAACTCATACACACAAACTTTATCTTTTCATAATATTAGTATAGATGTACATTATATGTATGTAAGCTTTCATTCCTATAATAATGTATGACAAACGTTATCGATCCCGCGGTTACCAATCTACGTAGTTATCTGTTGACACGCACTGCTTGAACATCTGAACTACTGACTTCATGAATATTAAATATTTTGTGTATCCTGTTATCTCATGAAGTAATTTAACTTATTCTAATTAAACTTTGCCTTATGATGGATTGGTTTTGCATATTTTAGATAAGCTTTCACCAGCGGCTTCACTCGGGTCTTTTATTTATATTTATTTATGTATATTGAGGAATATCGGTTATTGACCTAAAATAATAACTTATAAGTCTCTAACACCTATCTGTTATCATCTCTAATATTTTTCTTTATTTTTCATGTAATATTTCTAATTATCAAATATATAGCACATACCTAAATATACCTAAATAGGTAAAGACAAAACAGTTCCGTATCTTTTTCTCCTCTGTTTGTCAACCGATTTTCTTTTATTTTGTTTAGTAGGTATTGACGAACATTAGTGTTATCAAAAAGAAATTGTTGAATATTCAAAACAGTTATTTTTAATAAAGATAGCAAAATTCTATTATGTATGTTTTCTTCACATATTATAAATAAAAATGTCCTAGATTTACCTTTTCAAAAATTTAAAGATTATTTCAAAAACGTTTTGTTGAGCAAAGCGTATTATACTGTTCAAGAGTTTCTTATTGATGAAACTGTGTGGAATTGAGTTATAGTGACTCATATGCAGGCTGTGTATAAATTTTTGTTAGTAAAATTATTGTAACCTCTATATTTAAAAGAGTGATTGTTGAGTTGAGTTTAAATGTGTTGCTCAGATAGCAGAGTGGACCTTGGAGCAACCCCATGGTACCCCCCCAACGTGCGTTCACCTTGTCGTGGTGGGGGGGCTCAGTAGCAGTAGCGAAGCTAAGAAACGCACAGGGAGGTTGCCCACTTCGGTGGGCGGTGGGAGGTGGCCCTCTTCGGAGGGCGGTGTACCATGCGGGTTGCTCCTGGTACTTCTCTGATAGCAGAGTGGACTGTGGAGCAACCCCATGGTTGTGGTGGTCTGCTTCGGCGGACCTGCCGTCGGGGCGTCGTAGTTGAATGCGTAAGCGATCCTGCGACGCCCCATTAAGACGGGGGAAGGTTTTGTTGGGTTTTAGTGGGTAGTACTGGCTGTATTACGCCGGTGAGTCCCACACGTCGTGCGTAAATGCATTTCCCAACGTTAAAAAAAAAAAAAAAACCCATGGTTGTGGTGGTCTGCTTCGGCAGACCTGCCGTCGGGGCGTCGTAGTTGAATGCGTAAGCGATCCTGCGACGCCCCATTAAGACGGGGGAAGGTTTTGTTGGGTTCTAGTGGGTAGTACTGGCTGTAATACGCCGGTGAGTCCCACACCTCGTGCGTAAATGCATTTCCCAACGTTAAAAAAAAGGCTGTGTATAAATTTATGTTAATAAAATTATTGTAACCTCTATATTTAAAAGAGCAATTGTTGAGTTGAGTTTAAATGTGTTGCTCAGCGCATAACTTTTAGATAATAATGACGGAAAAACGCAAAAACACATTTTTATTTTTACATACTATTACTTGAATATATTTTTAGATTTGACATTTTGTTTTTATACGATATACAGTTTGATCTTGACTTTGTTTGTGTATTTGTCCTTCTTTAACGTCGAAACAGAGTGAGTACGTCAAAACGTACTTAGAACCGAACCTGAGCGAAGCGAGGATGAGTCGCTAGTATACAGTATGATATAGTATACAATACAACAACAATTATGGTCGAACTATAACAATAGGCTAACAAATCCATAATAATTATTAAAACTATTAATATTTCCGTTTTTAAAATATGAATCCATATAAAGTTTTCTAGTTAAAAGTTTTTTTTTAATTACTTTATATTTGAAAAAAGTTCAATAACACTAGTGCCTAGCGTCCCTAGGTAACGTTTTAAAACAGAATAATTTCCCACGGGAATTGATGTACCTATCGGGAAATAAAATGGGTCACTCTCCGGCCAATTAACTTCACGTTCAGAAAAATCTCCGCAATACGTTAATTTGTTGCTATAAACAACGAGCAATACTATCAAACATGCGTAATTCTAATATTAGAAAGAATTTAGAATTTTTTAAAGCCACTTTCACCAAATGTGGGGCTGGGGTTTCAAATCAAATCTGATTAAATTGAAGTATAGACTTTTACAAGCACTTTTGAATCGTCCATTTTACATTTTATATTTAAATTAAATGTCAGTGCAGTCAGTCCGTGGGGAATCTACCACCGGTTCGGAAGGCAGTTCTGCTCAGAAGAGCACACAATATTTAAGTTGAAGTTTTGATTAAGAAGAGAAGAACTTTACACAAGACGTCATTCTAAAATGATTGAAGAAAAAGATACTTAAAAGTATTTTAGATTTTTCAACGAATTTTTATACTATGGCAACCCGTCTATCACATAGGATTAAAATCCATTTTAATATAATTTTTAAAACTTCTATTCTTCTATAATGGTGGAATGACACTTTGTCTAAGCCTCCAAAATTTATATATGGCTACTTAACATATTTAAGGTATTTTAAACGAAAATTTTAGTGCAAATGGTACTAAGAATTGTGTCTCCAATTACATCGATAAACCTAACGATCCTTCGGGGACTAATCTCCGAGCTTATCAGATACGCAGGCTCTGTCCAAATATTAATTACGATAATGTTGAATTTACTTGACTCGTACATATTGCTACGAGAAATTTGTCCAGTCACTAATTACTGGGGTATACCGGCTTTTGTGGAGATCTGATGCGTGTGCCTACACTAAAAATTATACTTAGGGGCCTAAAAGTCTGACTTTTTTCCATGTAATATTCAAATTTATCGAATTTAGCATAACAAAATGTTATAAATACTATAACAATTTGCAACTCATGTGACCCTCATCATTATAACGTCAAAAGATATCCTCGTCATGCCTATGCCTGTACCATACCTTTCCAATGAGATGAAATTTTAGACCTACTTTGAGTAGACTTGTCCACTGTACCTATTGTTTAAGGCAATCTATACATACATATTACATATATCTTTTAATATATAAATATCTTGTGTCGCGGTGTTTGTGGTTGCACTCCTCCGAAACGGCTCGATCGATTTTAATGATTATTTTTTTGTACATTTAGTAGGTATGAGAATAGGTTGTAAAGTATTTTAACCCTCCTACCCCCACCTCCCAATTTTTAATCGCAATTTTAGTATTTTTGTATGAACAATATTATGTAAATACATATCGCTGTATAACATAAAACCAAAGACTTTTGTACATTGAACGCGGGCGTAGCCGCGGATTCTGCTAGTATTTCTATATAATTCTGTCTGCCACCCTTTCCGAACACCTAACTATAATATTATCAATGGTTTTACAAATATATAGCTTGTTTCTACAATTCGAAACATCATCAATAGGCAAATATTATATTAGCTTTTAAAATAATCGCTATTCTATAAACATTAACCAATTTAAAATGGCTACTTTAGTTTTTATATTAAAATAGTTAATAATTGTGTATATAATATTAAGTAAACGAATAATATTTTCTTAAACAGATGAGTGCATCAACTATCTCAAAGCCCAAGCCAAAGAACTTGGTCTACCGTACCAGGTATATGAGCTGGTTCCCAAGAATCCAATCCTGGTAATGACATGGGAAGGTCTCGAGCCTTCATTGCCCAGCATTCTGCTCAATTCACATATGGATGTCGTACCTGTTTTTGAGGTAATCTTTGTCTTCAATTATTATATTTAAGATTTCCCTCAGATACAATACTAAAAAATATAAATACTTCATCCCATACAAAATAGTTGAATCAAATTTGCCCGCGGATCCGCTCGCATGACAAACGTGAAAAAGATAAAAAAGAATCTATGGACCTACCCTAATATGAATAGCAATCAATACATATTACGCCATCTGTTGAAATTTATTTGAACTAATATTTCTTTCTAAAGGGCTCTACTAAGTAAACTTATTACTATGGTTAAGCAAAAGACATAATGGCAAGGAATGGATGGTGATCATTTCTGGCTTTAACACCTGAGCTTTACTTAGCTGTAAAGTGCACGTCGTATAGGCCGTCTCAGTTGTTATATTGATAAATAGCAGCGATCGAGCATATCAAAGGCCTTTGGGTGACCCTATAAACTATTAGGTACCCCTAAGAACGTGATAACTTCATCCCAAACTATCACTATTTATAGATTATGAAATTTGTATGTTATTAAATTATTATCGAGACTTATCCTTGCAATATTCAGATGCGTCCCCAAGCTCCTTTTATATGTAATCCACGACTAATATTATAAATGTGGAAATGTGTTTGCTGATTTGTTTGTTTGTCCTTCTTTCATTGACGTAATTTTTTGTGTGGAGATAGAGGGCTGGAGAGTGACATAGGCTACTTTTTATCGCGAGTGATTACTTAATTCGCACGGGAAAACACGTTATAATACAATCCAAAAAATATTTATTATCAGAATTACTTGAAACTTGGTATAAATACTCTTCAATAAAATTAAATAAAAACGTGTCTTAGCATTTTTCGAAATTCATCCTATAAGGGGGTAAAATAGGGCATTAAAGTTTGTATGAAACTTACCTTTTTAGAGATTTTTTTGTTGTTTTAGCGCGAGCGAAGCCGCGGGTTCTGCTAGTATTATACATATAATATATATTCGAGTAACGGCACGCCATGTTTCGGTAATTTTTATTACTATCTATATTAAATTTCCTTACTTTTGGTCTATCTGTGTATAAAAGATCCAAATAAACTTAAAAAACTTTCGAACTTATATTATTAGTATGATACTAAAATTTCAATATACATACATATTTAAGTAAAAATAGTAATGAACTTGTTAATAGTATTAAGTAAATATTATTTTTTACGATTTCGTGTTATTATAACTTGAAACCTTCCAGCAACTTATAATTTATTATTATGATCTGAAATCCTCTAGACAAGATCTAACTAAATATTTAAGGTACAATTTTCTGCTTACGTATTTGAAGATTCCGTTTAAAATTTATTTATGTGCATATTTTTTACTAACTAAAAATAAGGTTTAGGCGCTCGTAGTACGTAAAAAATAAAAAAATAAAATATAGATCTAAAAGATCTATAACTACCTTTCGATATTTTTATACAACTTTTTCCATATTTGTTGTGTTGCTGTTATAAGCATCGAACTTGTTACCTATGACACAGTTGTTAATGCCACCCAAAAAAATAATATTTCTGCACTGCATACGTAAATATTCGCATAGTATCATAAATTATGTAAATTATTGCTACATCGACTAAAGTATAAGGTTTGTATCGACTACTTCTTTCTAATATCAACATCGTATATTAAAATATCGTAGTAAAAGTTATACAAATTTTAAAACACTAACAGCAAAGTATTCATGCTTAAAAGCTAAATTTAACAACGTATTTTTAAATTTTAAACCTAAGAAAGTATTTGATAATGAAATATACGGAAATCTATGAAACTATAAAATAATAGATACTCGTATTCTTTATTTGTTTATATAACTTTTAAAATTTTCGTGTTCCATAATTATTATATGTTTATTTGTTTGCGCTTACCTTTAGACCTACTCGTTAACTAGAAAAAAAACTATATTTTTAACCTATTTATTAAGGATGGATTCGTGCTATCTAACATCAAATTCCAAGCACTAAAATCAGAGTGGGCAAAAGCTAGTATTATGTATTAGATTCAATCTATACATATAATAAAATTGTAACTAAGCCGAATCTGTACATTAAATATTTTTTGGAAAATCTTATTGAAACAAACATTATTATCGATACAGAGGCAGAATCTATAGTTTTTAGAATTTTTGTCTGTCTGTCTGTTACCACATCACAGAAAAACCACTTAAAGGATTTTGATGAAATTTGGTATGGTGGTAGCCGGTTATCCGGGTCAATATACAAGATACTTTTTACCGCGGGAAAATATCTTATTTCTGAGAAAAAATACTAAAACTGCATTGCAAGAGTATATTAATATGTAACACCTAAGAATTTGGTTTTTGATCATCTGAACGCAGGCGGAGCCGCGGGTAATGCTAGTTAATAATAAATTATATGGCACATATATGTGTTTTATTCAAGGTGATTTGGAATGTCAGCTATATAGGCATGAGCTTTGAGTAGGTATGTTTAATACGTATGCCCTCTAATTGGTATGCGTAGAAATTCTCTTGTATACAGAAATAATAACTTAGTAAAGCAGTTGTATATAGGAATTTTATATGTATATTGTAATAAGCTTAGCAGGAGACTGTTTCATACTTCATAAGTTTTAAAATATAAAAAAGCTTAATATTTTTTTAGAATCAAAGTTTGCACTTTCAATCTATATAAATACAAATGAATCACGGAAATATATGTACACGCATAACTTTCGATCGATAGCACCAAGTTGGTTTTTTTTGTGTTTGTCAGGACAATTTTTGTATACAAGAAAATTAAAAGAAAATACAGATGCTAGCCGATACAAAGCAAATCTAATATTTCGATACGTAAAATATAACACAAATTGATGTATAGTATTTTAACTGTACTCGTATTAGAGTTCATACCTAATCATATTTACTCATTAGATATTCATATCTTAAAATATTGTCTGCTGGCACCGACTTCGAAAATATCTGATTAGGTATCTATTCTAAATGAAAACCCCCCTTTAGTAATATTTTTCATTTTAGTGACTGCAAGTCGTTTTTTTTAAGATTTAATTTTTCCATTTTTAGTGTAGACGTAATAAGCATGTAATTTGTAAGAAGAAAGTTTTTAATAACATATTCGATTAAGCAAATTATTTAAAATAATAATTTATTGTAGATTTTTTTTAAAACCGCTTGACCGATTTCGATAAAATTTAAACGGGACCATCTGGGAAGTATACCCTTCGAAACAAAAAATAAATTCCAAATCGTTTCAGGCGTCTTCGAGTAATCGGTGAACATATATTAAAAAAAAGATCCCGACGAATTGAAAACCTCCTTGAACCTTTTTGGAAGTCGGTTAAAAAAAGCGGTTAAAAGAGTCGGTTACTAGTATACGTTAGTACAAAGTGGACTCTAAAGTCTTTAATCTAGTGTTTTATTTCAATTAATAAAATGATTTTCAAACAATCTTCGTAGCTCGACGAAGGTTCGCAAATCTATTAAACGTCCCGCCTATAGTCCGTGGTTTCAAAACCAATATTGCACTTTGTAATCCTTTGTCCCGCGAGATTGATCAAACAATTTGCATATTAAGTACATAAAGCTTATAGCTTATTGTAATGTATACAAGCATTATATACGCCACTTTAACCTTACTGGTTACGAAAGTAGGAAATGTGGGTTAAAATTTCGGATTTTTTGTAACAAATGATAAAGTATTTTGTAATAAAGATATTTCTGAATTTTTGTGACATCTTGATACATTACCTATATAATAATACTAGCGACTCACCCTCCCTTCGCTCGGGTTCGTCCCTAGGTTGGTTCCCCATATAAAATATCATCCCCATTTTCACCCCCTTAAAGAATGCTTTCCGGGATAAAAAGTATCCTATGTCCTTCCCGGGGTCTCAAACTATCTTCTTACTAAATTTCATCTAAATCGGTTCAGTAGATCCAGAGATTACCCCCTAAAACGTCACAAACTCACAAACCCACAAACTCACAAACTTTACCTCTTTATAATATTAGTATAGATACACTTATTACATTCAAAATAAAGGTTTGAATTTAGGGGTTAATGTCCTACCAAAGTTATCAAGGGAACTGTCATCCTAATTTAAATATACGGCTTAGTCAAAATTTAGTGGCCATAAGTAACACATTTTCTACTCATTTATTATAATCCTCGTTTATTTTACTACTTCGTGTTTGTGTATTGTTTACTGTCACGTGTTTATTAATTCTAATAAGATAAGTAATGAATTTACACTAAATAATTGAAAAAATTTAAAGCAAATTCAAATTAGCTTAACCTACAATCGAATACTACCAATAATAATATTTTCTGTATGTTGTTATAGAAATGTAGTAGCATGGCTCTTCAGATAATCGAGTGTCTTAGAAATATTCCATTCCTGAAATTGGTAATATTCTTAAAATAAAACATGTATGTATGTATGTATGTATGTATGTATGTATGTATGTATGTATGTATGTATGTATGTATGTATGTATGTATGTATGTATGCACGTATGTATGTATGTATGTATGTTTAGTATGTCAAGAAGTACGTAACGAAGGTGTAGCACTAAGGAAGAATTTGATAATTCTGCCCTTAAAAGAGTTAAATGGGTGAGGACAGCTCTTATGCAAGTTTACCGTTTTTAAAAGTTAGAAAAAAGAGAATTGATGTACATAAGTATACTGACGTTTATAATGCCGAAATAAATCCACATCGGGATTACAGTATATATGTTTATTATATATTATGGATATATTAAAATGTTGTAATAAAAAAAAATGTCCTTAGAAAAGCTGGACCTACCCTCCATTCGAAGCTCGTTTGGTGGACGGAGTCATTTACGGGAGAGGTGTTCAGGACATGAAATCTGTTGCGATACAATACATTGAGGCTATTCGGAGACTTAAGAATAAAGGATTGAGGTTCAAAAGAACTATCCATTTGAGTTTTGTCCCCGGTAAGTAATATATCCTGAGTTATCTAACAGGTAAGTATTTGAAAACTATAACAAAAAAAGTTATATTCTTCAGAATAAGCTATTTCACTTGACATGATTCGCAAAATTATTGACAAGTCTTTTATATATATATATATGTGTATATATATACCATTAAAATCAGAATTCATTTATTTATCCATACGGAAAATAGGCTGTAATTAGACGGATTGAAAGACAGATTGGCGAATGACCTATAGGTTTTAATATATAACATATACAAAACCCTAAATAATAGAAAGTTGAAAGGAAAAGTGAAAATTACAAGAAAAAATAATAGCAAAGAAAAACCTTTCTCGCAATATTGCGCATTTCTTAAAGATAAATTCTTAGCAAAGAAACTGTCGGAACCTAAACATTGACCACTTACTATAATGAAGCAAGCAGAATATATAAATGTATTTTGTTAAGGTATTATACCAATTCAACTTCTTAAAATATTTAATATACGTGTGCGTAAACTTAAATTATTTCACGATATTAATCAAAGGAAGTTAAATTACAAATTAAGTACATACATAAACAAAATTAATATTTATCTTACAACTAAGCCGTTCAAATTGTATATTTTGCTAGCGACGGTAGGTAGGTAGGTAGGACGGTTTAACGGTTAGTATAGATTTCTCAGAGGTGAGATATTTTCCCGCAGTAAAAAGTATTCTATATATTATATTATATATCATAAAAAATTTCATTAAAATCTGCCCAGTGGTTTTCTCATGATTCGTTCCCAAACAGACAGACAGATAGTCAAAAATTTTAAAACTATAGATTCGGCCACTGTATCGATAATTGACTATTTCAATTAGATTTTCCAAAAAATATTTAATGTACAGATTCGATTCAGTTAGAATTTTATTATATGTACATAATATATTGTATAGATAACGTGGGTTGTTTAAAATCGTCCACGTGTGTTCACTGCTAATGAATATGTATCAATACGGCACTTTATATTATAATGTGTGCTTTGTCTATAAATAAAATTGAAGTGTCATTTTGTGGCTTCGAAACAGCTATCCCATATTGGCGTATGTTTTGCACAATAATAAAGCCCAAATAACCGTTTAAAATTGTTTGTATCCGATTGTTGTATGGACAAATTTTAATAGAACTTTCATGGTGTTAGGTGATTATGAATTAGACTTCTTTAGGGTCTCACGTGATACGGCAGTACAATTATTCATATTTGTTTATAAATTTCATCGAAATCCGTACAGCCGTTTCAGAGTTATGAAGAAACAAACATACAAACACTCAAACGAATAGACTTTCGCATTTATGATAGTAATGCGATTTAAAAAAATTAACAGTCAGCCACCATTTAATGCTATAAATGTTTTTATTCTAGTTAGCTAAGTTAGCTAAGTAACAAGGTGATTGTCTCTACGTATGTTTTATTCAAGGTAAGTTTCACGGCAGTCCCGATGCTGTAATCCCAATAGAATGTATATTTAATGCTATGCAATTCTCCGTTCTTCCTTAAACCTTAGATATTCAATACTGTATAATCGGATTATAAGTTCATAATATATTCAAATACTAGAAACTTGAATCGGTACGCAGAAATGCGGATTATCCTGAAGACAATTGGAATTGCTTAATTATTAATAACCTAATTATTAAGAAAACCAATTATGAAAATCGATTTACAATTGGCGAATATATCGAATATCGAACCCAAAAATACTGATTCTTTGATTGAGTACTCCTCCTTTATGAATGGCCAAAAAGTCAAATTAAAGACTCTTTCCATTTTGATTCAATCAATCAATAATATATATTCGTATTAAATAGTTTTACTAAACTTAATATTTAACAGTAGTAATTTGTTTTAGTGTAGATACTTAGCAACTCGAATCGGATGCGCTCTTGACTCATTTTCACACTAAGACTTGTCAATTTAAAAAATCTTTAGGTGAATTGGTCGTTAATAGCTTTAAGCTTTTAAGCAATGGCGCGACGATTCATTAGTATTTGTATAGTATACAGAACTTTAGATTAAATAGATCCGAACATTTTCAATAATTTCGAAGTCGGTGCCAGCCGATACAAAGCAAAGCACACCGACTTCGAAAATATTTGATTAGGTATGTATAGTAAATGAAAACTACCAATCAGTTATTTTTTACTTTTTAGTGCTTTTGTTTGAAGTCGGTTTTTATTTTTTTTGCTAAAAAGTTTTTCTTTTTGCAATTGTATACAAAGAAAAAGCCTTTAAACTGATACAAGATAGTACGGTATTTTTTATCAGTTCGAAGTTATAAAGTACTGCCTGCAATTGGAAATGTTGGTTCAAAGCTAGCTGGCAAAGGGCGCCGCTGTTACTCTCAAACAACTTTAGCTGGCACTTAAGTTTTAAAAAGTTAAATCATCTCAGAATAACAATTTACTTGACTTCTGCCTTTTAAAATAAATAGAATAAAAATTTAATGGAAAACCACTTGTTTGAAATTAAATGAACCTTTAGAGGATGTAAGCTTTTATGTTCAGGTTCACAGTCGTTTCTTTAAGTACAAGTACGTGTAGGCTTTCTAAGTAATAATTTGTTTCGTATTGAAACTAGATTTGTATTTCATTTTTATTTATACTTTTTATTTTTATTTATTTTTTTTTATTAGATATAGTAAAGATTTTAATAAGGATGACTTCCTTAATGACCACGTGATAAATTCATCTTATATATTAACTAGCATTGCCCGCGGCTCCGCCCGCGTTCAGATAGGCAAAAACCAAAGTCGTAGGTTTTACATTATTAGTATACTGTTACATTGTAGTTTTTGTATTTTTCCTCAGAAATGAGACATTTTCCTGCGGTAATAATTATCCTATATGATGAACCGGATAACCAGCTATCACCATACCAAATTTTATCCAAATCCCTCCGGTGGCTTTTCTGTGATGCGGTAACAGCCAGACAGACAGACAAAAATTCTAAAAACAATAGATTCGACCTTTGTATCGATAATAATGTTTATTTCAATAAGATTTTCACAAAAATATTTTATGTATAGATTCGGCTTTGTTACAATTTTATTATATGTATAGATAGTCTACATCTAAAAAGTTTACTGTCGTATTGGACATTAAAAGGTTTAGATTGGAATTTTATTTTTACAAGTTTTTATTGGACTTGCAATGTTTTTATGTATGTTTGTTAAGGTCAAATCTGACAACTGAATTTTAAAGCAGTTCTCCTCAACCGATTGAACTGAAATTTTGCATACATGTTTAGTTTAGATGACAATGCATGGTTAGATAAGCGACGTCATTCTAAATCCAACATGGCAGATTCGTAAGAATGGTGGACTATGTTTTTCTTTTGCACCCTATAATATGGATATCAAATGAAAGGTTTGCTGAAAATAATACGAATAAATACCTAAAAAAATATAAAATTAAATCAAACCAATTTATTACATTATACAATTTATATGATATAAAAGCTTGTTTTTAAAAATGTTTTTTTTTAATATTAATTTATTATTAGCCTAAACAGTTCTTCTTGATAACTTTCTTCTAGAATGGATTAATGCTGCGAAGAAAAATCTCCTGATCGTGTTTTCAATATAAACTTCTTTCAATATTATTGCAGACGAGGAGAAAGGTGGCAAAAACGGAATGAAGAATTTTGTGAAATCTGATTATTTCAAGAATTTGAACGTAGGTTTCGCGTTAGACGAAGGCCTAGCAAGCCCTGATGACTCATACATAGTATATAACGGGGAGAGGAGTATTTGGCGTGAGTATACGTTGTTTATTTATTTTTATATATGACGATTTTTTTCAAAACGTTGCTTTCTTACAATAAAATAGTAAATAAATATTAGAACCATAATATCGCGATAATCGGTCATCTTAGATAGGCACTTCGTATTCGTATATATTTTATATGGCTGTAAGCACAACACTCGATAATGGCTGGACAAAATTCGATGAGACTTTTTTAATGTTACTACTAATGATCTAAAGATATTATTTCGTATTTTGCACTAAAACGATAAAAAAACAGATATTTTATTAAAAAGAAGTAAAGAGTAGTAAAAAGAAGTAAAGTAAACAGAGAGAAGTAGTGCAAGAAAATAAGAAATAAACGATATTAAATAACATACATTATATATATATAAATATATATAATATATATATATATATATATATATATATATATATATATATATATATATATATATATATATATATAAGGAATCATATACACACAATATACATTTACATGTAAACTAAAAAAAAGAGCTAAAAGTACCAAAAGTTTATAGTTTTAATTTATACAATTAATTGTTCTCAAACGTCCTCATACAATTAATTGAAAATCATGATTAGTGTTGTATATTAAAAATAAAGCAAAAAAAATAAAGGTATCATTATATAACATACATAATTAGTTAATATTTTCTGTTAGATATCAACGTAATATGCCCGGGCAAGTCTGGCCACGGGTCACTTCTGCTTCCGGACAACTGCGGGGAAAAGGTAACTAAATACTAAAATATTACGTCATGTTATAAGTCAGTACCTTTTTTTTTTTAACGTTGGGAAATGCATTTACGCACGAAGTGTGGGACTCACCGGCGTAATAAAGCCAGTACTACCCACTAAAACCCAACAAAACCTTCCCCCGTCTTAATGGGGCGTCGCAGGATCGCTTACGCATTCAACTACGACGCCCCGACGGCAGGTCTGCCGAGGCAGACCACAACGACCATGGGGTTGCTCCAAGGTCCACTCTGCTATCAGAGAAGTACCAGGAGCAACCCGCATGGTACACCGCCCTCCGAAGAGGGCCGCCTGCCACCGCCCACCGAAGTGGGCCACCTCCCTGTGCGTTTCTTGGCTTCGCGCCCGGTTGGGTTGCCGGGCACTACTGAGCCCCCCCACCACGACAAGGTGAACGCACGTTGGGGGGGATAAGTCAGTACCTAGGCTACCGAGCTTCGCTCGTAGTTTTTGGCAAAAAAAACATTAAAAAAAAGTAAAAACTTTGTATCAGAACGGGATACGAAACCAGACGAGTGTGGTTGTCAAACTTGCGCCTTGGCCGCTCGACCACGATGCTTATGTCCTAGCGTGCGAATTAGAGACCATATTTTACGTGGAATAATGCGAAACAAAACCGCATGAAAACTCGAAAACACGCGTTTTCCCAGATATAAAACTAATCTAGAACGTAAAAAGTATTTTAAAAAAGAGAAAACTTCGTCCTTTTTTATAAAACTTGATATTTTAAGAAACTTTCCATAATTCAATTTATACTTCAAGAGTTTCTGAGGCTAAGTGTAATATTCTTGTTGTGTAGGTATTACTTGGAAAGTTATTTAATTGTAATTCTTGTAAAACATTTAGACGCAAAATTATTATAAAAAGAGGTACTGATTTAATTAAATAAACTTAAAACTTTCTTAGATTTACGCGAATATTTAACATTTTAAATAAAACTATCTTTTCGGATTATTTCGTGGATTTATTTTGATTTTTGGTTCCCGACGTTTGGAATTCTTTACAGCAAAGGCGTTATATACCTTTGTTACAGACAGTGTCTACCCACCCATTTTTTGTCTATAAAGGTAGCAATAGTGTTACTTAATATTTTAACTTTAAATAATAGCAATCTATTTTAACTTTTGCTTAAATAAATAATTAATTCTTTTAATTTTTTATATTCTTTATGGTTCTACATAATATAATAATAATAGCAACACTAAATAATATAATTGTTATATATTACATTTTTTTAAAACTTTATTAATTAAGTTTAAAAAAAACGTAATATTCATAATAATAACAGCTAAAATTAAATAAATAATATTGCTATATTTAATTATAATACTTAATAAAAAAATTAAAATGTTTAGAATAAATATCAACAAATATTGTAAGCTACTTTGGTGCCTTTTTTGATTTTTGAAATCATTTTTGTAAAATAGTGGGTAGGCAATGTGTGTAAAAAGTGTATAACGCCTTTGAAACGTCTATAACCTTGGTCTCTCCCGTGACCATGATTGCTGTAAAGCATTCGAAACATCGGGAACCAAAAAACAAAATAAATCGGTAAAGATAAATTTATTTAAGTAAACTTATTTAAAATAGAGTGAATAAATAAGACTCCTTCTTTTCGAGCTTTAGATAAAAACCATTGAAGTAAGAAAATCTTAACCTTTTGTCATATTATGAGTAGTTTCCATTAAAAATATCTGTGAATTTAAGAGCGTCTTTTCTAACCTATTTTGCGAAAATACTCTTTTATCATCTTTTTTGATAAAATGAATTCTCAACGATCAATGTATTTATGTACATAATTTTTTAAATTAAGCCATCTCCAAGGGTTCGCCCGGTAGGTAGATTTGAAGTCACTACACCTATTTAGTTGAAAAGCAGCCCATCATTAACCTGGAACACCAAGTATACATGGTAAATTTTGCTGAAAGCTAAAAGCCAGTAGGTACTATCCACCATAAATCAATGGCACTTCCATCTCTTAATGGGATGTCGCAGAGAGACTAGTTAGAGCCTATAATACTAATTTGATGGAAATACAACCCCGCAAACGGTAAAGTACAGTTTGAAGCAAAACCACACTTAAATTAGATACAATATTTAAAAGCGTACACTGTAATTATCAGTGAATATTGGTAGCAAATTATAGATCGATTTAATTAACGATTGGCAATGTTCCAGCTGCTCGAGCTGTTTACTCTCAGGGGATAGTTCATTTAAACACTACTTGACAGCTTTTACTGACTTTCTGTACGTTTAAATCGTATTGAGACACTCTAATGTACTGTTTTGAAAAGATGCTTTGTCCATCTTGATATCAATGGCCATAGGAAAATTTCAAATCCCATTAAACGGTTTATGTAATAAGTAAATAAACAAATAAACACTTATAAGATTTAACATTTATGATCTTAGGTAGTATGATTTGTGTATATAGTTAGAAATAATTTTGGTTATAGCTGTAAATATTGTTTAAAATCATGAAATGCTCAACATTTCACAACAAGCCTTTGCATTTGATAAGTGGCAAAAAGACAAAGCCTTGTTTAATTACTTTATTTACCATCCAAAATAAACATTCAAAATCAGAATTAATATTATACATAGTTATATTTTGCTTATCATTAAGTATACTAATTATATACATAATTGTACCTAATTTCAAAATTTCAATTCTTTACAAATGGAGAAAATAAACAGTGAAAAATTAACAAATTAACTTACATTATTAAACAAAATTACATTGATGATTCTTTAAGAGTTCCGCTTTAACCGACTTCAAAAAGGAAGAACGTAAATTATACTTCAAGTCACCTAAATTAAAAAAAAAACTTTTACTTTACAGTGATATTGTGTGTACAGAAAGGACACTAAAAACGTTTTCTAGTAGAACACATACCACAGTTCATTGGTACTAATTCCTATTTCCAAGTGAAACAAGTATTCCACGACTCACTGACACTACACTAAGTTGTCTCATTTTATTCGTGGCAAATTGTAAATCGCTTTAATTAACACTCTGGCTGAATTCCAAAAGACGTAACTATCAGTTCACCAATTTTATGTACGCGTTACTTATGTTTGTACGGTTATTTGAATACGTAATATGACGTTTATTGTGATACATGAATTTTGAATGTTGTATAAAATTCTAACTAAGGCGAATCTGGACATTAAATATTTTTTGGAAAATCTTATTGAAATAGACATTATTATCGATACAGAGGTCGAATCTATAGTTTTTAGAATTTTTGTCTGTTCGTCTGTCTGTCTGTCTGTTACCGCATCACAGAAAAACTACTGGAGGGATTTTGATGAAATTTGGTATGGTGATAGCTGGTTATCCGGGTCAACATATAGGATTCTTTTTATCCTGGGAAAATAACTCATCTCTGAGAAAAAGTACAAAAACTGTAATGTAAGAGTATACTAATATGTAAAACCTAAGAATTTGGTTTTTGAACATCTGAGCGCGGGCGGAGCCGCGGGCAATGCTAGTAATAATATATAAATGAATAATATTTGTTACTCAGTTTACTTCCTTATGGGTTTATAATAGGTGTCTATGTTAGGTTGGATTATTAATACTTTTTCCCAAAAACCGTCTTCAAGATCTCTTAAAATTCATTATTTGATGTATTTTAAACGTAAATGGGAACATCCATGAGGGAGGGACATTGACACACAACATCATCTATATATAGTAAGCTTCGAGGCTTGTGTTATGGATATCAGATAGTTAATACACTACACAAACTTTAAATACATACATAATATAAATATAAACATTTATGACTGACGTACAAACATTCGTTCTCATCACATAAATGAATGCCCCCAGCGGGACTCGAACCCGTGACCGCTGGCACAGCAAGTAGTGTCACTACAAACTGAGTCAAACGAGTTATCAAATAAAAAATATATATAAAAAAATCGAGTTACAATTAACAAAGTTATCATGTAAAATATAAAAAAAGGAAAATTGAGTGTCTCTTCCTATACTAGAAAGAACTTTGAACAAAATCGTCATTTATTTTACATTCTTATGTGTATAATACGTAAGCTGTCTTAATTAAGTACGAGACACTTAGATTAATGGGCTATTTAAAGCTTAATGCGCTTTGTATCGATTCCAAATGATCCGGTTTAATATATCTCAATATAAGATTTTCTTACACTGTAGAGAAAATTGTATATTAGTGTTTGCTTATGACTTTGATATAGCGCTAATTAAAAGCCCAGTTGCAACACGCTCGTTTGAAAAGTGAAACGGGTACAACGCCCGGGTTTCGCAGCTATGATATGTATACAGAAACGAATCATTCTCAACATGTTTACCACATGCCTTACGGTGAAGGAAAATTTCGTGAGGAGAACAGTATATTTGAAAAATTCTAACAAGTTTTCCAAAAATATGTTCCTCTAACCCACACTTTTCCAGCGTGATGGACTATGGCCTGATCCTTAGGCGATCGCTGATTGAGGCAAGGCCCGTATCCAGCAGTGGGATCTTATAAAGTGTTGAAAGAGAGTTACAAAGTCTTACACATATTTTGACTTTCTATTTTGCTAACCCTAATTATTTGACACATAAAACCTAAAAATTCTTTATATGTAAATGTACAGATTCTATCGATTTTAATGAATATGTAATTAAATGAATAATATACACTATTTACTCTTCATTTATAGATAAGGTACATAATCGACAAATTCATGGATCTACGTCAAGAATCTAAGAATAAACTTGAAACTGACACGAACTTGACCATTGGAGATGTGACATCTATAAACCTCACCAAACTCCACGTAAGTAATTTTAATCTTAAATTTTTACTTTTAAACCCAATGAATCGTATTATAATCATACCTCATATCCAATTCACCTATATGTACGTAATATATACAAACCTACATACGTGTGTACATATGTATATATACATATCTGGCCTTTGGGAAAAGAAGGCGTAACTAACACTCTTTAAATAACAAAACGTAGTATATTGTATTCCCACTTACACTCTATACTAAAATCTTTATTGCGCTACTATAGTAAGGTAGTCTCCATTTTTGTAAATTCTTTCGTATACGTTGTCTCAGTGCTTATATTTTGTCTAAAATACCAATTTAGCGCAAGAGTTCAATTCAATTTAATTTTCTTGTTAATGGGTTCAAAGCCTGCCAGTTGAGCATAGATTACTTGGCAATATCACGTAGAAACCGAAAATATCTAAAAAGAAAGATAAAATATCTTTATAAATAGAAGGATCTTAGAAATAAAGCTTTTGTTTTTAAAACAGAGAAATAAAACTCTCTTCTTTGAAGTACAACAAGTATGAGTGGTTTGAAAAATAGTTTGCCTTGATTTATTTTACATTGTAGCAACTAACACAATAATTTTCAGGGTGGTATTCAAAACAATGTGATTCCAGAGAAGTTTACCGCCAGTTTCGACCTTCGTTTAGCTCTGTCAGTTGATTTGGAGCAATTCGAAAATATGGTAAGCTTCTTTGATATATTTTTTACATAAATGTATAAATAACTGTTTTTTTAATTTATCTTGAACAAGGAAGTGCTTTTTGATTACATTTAATAGATATTTTAAATATGAATTGCTTTAATATAATATAGCTTTAAAATAAAAAATAAATATATAACCATTTTATTGTACCTTTTTGAAGCTATACTTCTTTTGGCACGTTTGGAAAAAAATATGAGAGTAGAATTTTTACGATGCTAGCGCACACCGACAGCCAGAAAGCGACATGATGAAGTTAGCTGCATACCTTTTACAAACAGAGAATTGTGACATACGGGATGAAATCTTTAGCTATTTTTGTTCTGTTACGCCAAAGAAGTATAACTTCTTACGTGTGTACATAAGTACACACATACGTTTTTTTCCATATAAAGATAAAACAATGGTGTAAGGAAGCGGGTGAAGGAGTTACTTATGAGTTCGAACAAAAGGATGACTACGTGGCGCCCACTAGCTTTGGTGACGATAATCAATTCTGGACAGCTTTCAAATCGGCTTTCGATAAACTGTGAGTGACTTTTAATCCAATCCATTCACTCTATTATTCATTTTCTATCATTCACTCAGAATCGTTGAAGCATTATAAACATTTATTATCGATTTTTTGACTTAAAATGCAATGGGTCATGGGTTCGATTACAACATAAAAAGAATTTTCGTAAAAAAAATGAAGTGGAAATTATATTAGAAAATTAAAATGAAATTAAAGGATAAAATCTGAGAAAAGAACCAATTAATTTCTTTTATTTCGCGTAAAGCCATGAAATCATAGAAGTTTCATTTTTTAACTATTATTTTTTTCATTATTAATATTAACACCTCCAGGTAAATTTCTAAGAAATCTATTGTTAACTGAAACGCCGGCGTGTCCGCGGTCGTGGAAAGATTATTAATTCATTCATTCATTCATGAATTTACGATTTCATTTACGATTTGAAATTAATCCAGAATTAATACGAGATATATGGTATGTGATTTGAGCTTACCTATATTATCTGTACTTTGAATAATACTGAATTATTGGTCTATATTTCAAATTATTATCCCGATATAGTTAACAAATATATTATAAAAAATATTGAAAGTAACAGATTTTCCTTAAAAAAACAAATGTTTTCCTACGTAGCTATTTCTTATTTCTCTAACACTAAATAGCCAACAGTTAACATTCTATTTCAACTATGTCCAACCTTTAGTTACAAAGAGAAGTAATTTAGATGTAACGAATCTAACAACAGGAACAAAGCTAGCACCCTGAATACAAATGAACCGCCAACTTTGCTTGAACAATACGTGCTCATTTAAAGGAAATTTAATGTAGAATTAATAATATAAATAGGAAACCTTTGATTTTAAAGACTACACGACTGGCTCAGTTTGTAGTGATCCTACTGGCTGTGCCAGCGGTCGCGAGCTCGAGTCGTACTGGGGGCATTCATTTGTGTTATGAGCACGAATGTTTGTACTCCAGTCATGGGTGTTTATATTTATAATATGTATGTTATTAAAGTTATATGTGTGTAGTGTATTAACTATCTGGTATCCATAGCATAAGCTGAAATGTCAAATATTCGTGTAAATCTAAGAAAGTATTATTAAAAAGAATTAAATTCCAGTAACATCCCACTAAAAAGCCGTACATTCCCCGGCGGCACGGACTCGCGGTTCATACGACAACAGAACATTGGCGCTCTCGGCATGTCGCCCATGCGCCGCACCCGCCCTGGGCTTCACGAGCACGATGAAAGCTTACATGCTTCTGTGTTCTTAGAGGGAATAACTGTTTATGAAGAAGTTATACCGGCAATGGCTAATGTGTAATTGGACGATTAAATCAAACCAAATATTATTTCTTGCACACCACAAAATATAACATATACATACATATATATTAAAGAAGAAATAGCGCAATAAGCGGTGCTATTTCTGCATAATGGTTTTGAAATAAAATGATTTTATTGATATAATATGAATTTGTTTTATTTTATTTTGTACCAACAGTCCTGTTTGTTAAAAAGTAGTTTCGATGTAATTCAGAAGGCAATCGCCCTTTTAAATTTCTTTTAAATCTCTTGAACTTTGCAGCGTAAGTTTTAACAAACAAAATTTCGGTTTTATAATATCATTGTAACACATTGTGTTAACAAGTATGTATATTCATACATCCTTCACTCACTCTTTACAATATATCCGATAGATACTTAAATGTAACTTATATATTCTACGGAAACAGCTTGATGTTGGTGAATAAGACAATAGGTAAAAGTAAGTAGTCTACGTCAGTCTCGAGCCCACAAACTATCTCTACGCAAAAAATACACAAATTCGACTCTATTTTACACACTTTTGCAGTTAGTATGAAACCTGGTAGAACCACTTTAATGTAATATGGATATATAAAAATATAAATACAAACAAATTATTACATTTAATTATATAATTATGAACCTCTATTCTTGTAATAATATTTAAAATAGACAAATTTTAAGTCCTAAAAAGATTCACTTTCCTAACAATTTCTTTTTCCTATGAAATTATATTAATATACCAAAAAATATTCATATCATACAAAACAACATAACATTTAAGCGGAAATGCGAATATATTTACCTCAAAATTATTCTACATACTTCGTAGAAGCATTAAAAGCTTCCACTGTTCATTCTTTAGATATCTTATGTGCTTTAGCGTTTATCTACGAATTCAATACTGTTTTTGAGCTTTAAAAGCTAAATAAACGGAACTTTACTCAGTCTTTATGATCTTGGTTATATCCTAAGGATAGCTTTTCTAATGTCCAAAAAATCAATACTAAGTAAAAAAAGCTTATAGTAATGCTTATTGCAGATTATATACTCGTATATAAATATAAAAGCAAAATTTTAATTTTCAAAAAAAATTGCAGTTCTCAATTTGTGTATGTAGCTTTTTCCTGTAAATAACTTTTCTAATTTTCGAAAAATCAGACTCTAGTAAAGTAAGCTTGAAATAAATAGCTTTTATTGCAGCTACATCAGCTGTAAAGAAGTTCATTATTTAGACCTCTAAAGCATCGGTTCCATGGTGTAATGGTCAGCACTCTGGACTCTGAATCCAGCGATCCGAGTTCAAGTCTCGGTGGAACCTAATCGATTTATTTTATAACAATTTCCATACATAAAATCTCTAAACTTTTTAAAAGTTTCAAGTTTTTTATCGGTTAACAGTAAATGTTCAATGTTTCTAAAGTAGCTGAAACGGTCATATGACTCTACTAATTCATAGTTTTGTATCATGTAGTATGTTTAACTATAACTTCTATTATAATATACGTGTAAATATAAATTCTGTATTAAAAAAATGGTTTGATGTCATCCAAGGTAAAAAATATCTATACTTACATATAATAAATTTATTTATAACTGATCGCTGTCTGTACATTAAAGATATTTGAGAAAAACTATTATTGGGGGTCTTTATTAATGCAATAGAACCAAAAAAAAGATTTTTATAAATTATGTCTGTTTATCTGTTTGTCTGTGCGTTTGTGCGCACTAATCTCAGAAATTGCTTAACCGATTTGGGTGTGGTTTGCACTAATGTACCTATTGTGGTAAGCTTTTGTTTTATTTCAATTGGTTCATAAACAAAAGAATAAAGAATCACTTTTTAATACTACGTAGTAGTCATTACTTTGCGTATGTAATAAATATATAAACATTTATAAATTTTGTTTTTTCTTTTAATTTTTATTTAACGTTTATTTCAAATAAAATGTAGTTATTTAAATATTAAAACTATATTTAGTCTAACAAAGAAATATCTTTAAGAAACTTATTATGTTTGCTTATAATAACCTCGTAGCAAAATACTATACATTTCTAAAAAAAATATGTATTTTAAAATTTCTTATTAAAAGTATGTTCTTAAACTACATGAATGAATAATGTGCCTTGTTCACCTTTGAGTACGTTCCCATTGTTACATTTTCTTTTAAAATGCAATCCTTAGTAGAAGTGATTGTAAAATTAGTTCTTTAACATAAAAAATAATCAATATAAAAACGCCACTTGCCTTCGCGTCGCTCGGGTACGTCCCTAGGTGTCTTTTATATTTATAATATTATATACAGACAGCACCATCTTCTGGCCAATTTAATTTCTAGCCTATACAACTCCAGTACTTATCTGTGCACTAAATTTCATCGAAATCTGTCCAGCCTTTCAACGAACGAACATACACACATACATTTCGTATTTAGTAGTAGACCGATAAATATATGTTTGTGTGTTTGTCATGAATGGTCGCAATTATTCAAGCTTTAAAGCAGTTTAAAGTAATCTCCCAGAGTAGTTTTGTGCCGCTAAGCGGTCATCTATCAAATACATGCTCAATAATTTAACTCTGTTAGGATAAATTATGTACGAGCGTCCCTCTCTAATATTGAACTGGAACTAAAAATGGTAAACTATTAAGTAACTACTTAATATTAATGGGAGCCTTTTATAGGAGTTAGGAGTTTTTTTAAGCTTTCATGGTCACTCATAATAATTTTATGATGCAAAAATGGGAGATTTACCGCTATTTACCCTAAATCTTATGCGTACTCGATATTTCCATGGCGCTTTCAAAAGCGTGAAAGTAAATAACATGTAAAACAATTTTCTACACAAATATTATAGATGTGAAGTTTATTATTTTGTGTGTTTGTAAGTTTACAAGTTTGAATGTACGTGGTAATCTCTGAAACTAGTAGTTCTGCCTGATTGAATGAATGAATGAATGAAAACGAATGAATCTGATTCTGAAAATTCTTACACTAACAGTAATATTTCCGCGGAGTCCTATCGGCAAATTTTTATTCTAATAAAAATATGTGTCAGAAATCATAGTAACTTTATTTGGAATCGATAAAAACTGGCCATTGCCATATTGGCGTGCGCTGCCAAAACAGTTTGTTATAAAGCCATAAAATGTATCTCAAAAGACACCTACGGATGCAAGCGAAGCAAGGCTATGGAACTAGTACAAAATAAAAATATAATTAGACGCCACTTAGTTACTTTTGCAAATAACCTATCACTAAAACATATTTACCCCATTTTTCTAATAATATAACAGCAAAAATTCCTCTCTTACCTAACATACAAAAACTCTTACTTAATAAAATGTGTGTAGAACATAATTCAGTGTTAAAAAGAAGTCACCTGCATATCCATTTTCAGTGCACGTACCTACTTTGCTTCGAATTGATTTATGTATGCGTAAAATAGCGCCTGAATTTATTGGTGAATTGAACTCTTAGATTTATTATTTTATTTCACACTAGCTGACCCGACACGGACTTTGTTCTGACCCAATAAAGCATGTGATATTGAGTTTACAGAAAAATCCTTTAGAAAAATGCTAAAGTTAATTTCTAATTTTTACGAACTATCTGAAAAACTTTCTAATCTAATTAGGTCTATAGATGAAAATTTTAAATATATAAAAATGAGCCATATTGGTCCAGTCAGTTTCAAGTTATATACCTATTTACCAACGAATAGTATCATTTATTTATATAGATCTTACATTAATGTCAAATGAACCGTTGACTTTTTACAGCAGACTCATCCTACGGGAATCACTTTATACACTGAGTAAAAAGCCTGCCTGTCAATCTGCCGTCCAATTACATCCTCTGTGTAAAATATCACGTCGATTCGTTGTTCCACTTCTGCGTAAAAGACAAACCAAAAAACTTTTTTTTTAAGAAATTAAGAAACAGAGTGAGAGAGAAGAACCTTAGTGTTCCACCTCTGAGATTTTAAAGCACAAATCTATGCAATCATTTTGACAAAACTCTTAAAATAATTGAATGTTCATCCTTAAATTTTAAAACAGCTGCTTGGTAAAACTATGCCTTTAATGACCTATGCAGACAGGTACAGTTCGACGTGAACCAAAAATCGCAATTATGTAAAATTGTGCAAAATGCTGTTACACTACGTTCATTGCTAATTGAAAAGCTTCGGCACCACATCCGCACGGTGCCAGGCGCCGAGTACTCACGTCATCGTCATTGTATTGTTTTATTTTCTTTATTCACTCAGAAATTGCTAATGACAACTTTAATTTTACCGCAATGCATAATTCCTACTCATATAATAGCAATTTTTTAGCAAATTTAATTAGTCGTGGTGGGAGGAAGGATCTTATTAGCGTCCGGCAACCCAGCCGAGCGCGAGGCCAAGAAACACACAGGGAGGAGGCCCACTTCGGTAGACAGTGTGCCATGCGGGTTGCTCTTGGTACATCTCTGACAGCAGAGTGAGCCGTGGGAACAACCCCTTGGTCCTGCTTCGGCAGACCTGCGATCTGGGCGTCGCGGTTGAGTGCGTAAGCGATTCTGCGACGCCACATTAAGACGGGAAAGGTTCTTTTAAGTTTTAGTGGGTAGTACTGACTTTCTAGCCGGTGAGTCCCACATAACCACCTATATACAGGTGGTATGCGTAATTGCTTTTCCCAATACAAAAAAAGGATATGATTATAGTGTGTTTAATAAATTTAATCACAATAGAGGTGTTATTACGAGTAATATGTGTAATATATTCATTATATTATAATCATGAACGAATTAGCCTCGTTGATGATTATAATATATAAATTATTATCTTATTAGCATTATGGTTGATACAACTTACACATAAATAACTAGTAAAAATAACCTTTCTACTGTCGTCCGCATGTTATACCTAACGAGCATGTAATAAAAAAGTTAATAAAAAAGGGAGTATACTTGATTTATATATAAATGTGTTTGTGGGTAGGAAAGTTAGTAAGTATAGAATTAT